TTTTTTTACTGTATGACTCACACACACAGAGAGAGAGATCCAGCTTTTGTAATCCTCCTGAACAATATTCCTAAAATAGAAAATGTTCAGTAACGTGTATGTTGTTGTACATTTTTTTGTAAACTATGAAAAAAAACTTATGTAAAGTTTTGCAAACAAGCGGACTGTTGTTTAACCATTTAATGACCTGAGCTGAATGCAAAGCTTTCCAAAAACATGAACCACGTTACAACTTGATTCTGAGAAAAAAAACAAAAAAGTAGAACGAAGAAATCAAAATATTTGATTTCCTTTTATAAAGGGTTTCTTAGCGAGCCTTTTGATTCTGATCTACAAAGCCTTACTATTTTTAAAACTATATTTTAAAAAACAAAACCTGTGGCCCGCGAGCGATTCTAACACGACAATTTTGGCCCGCAAGAAAAAAAGTTTGGACACCACTGCTCTACAGGATGTGCAGAGAAGTGCCACAGTGGATCTCTACATGAAATATAAAACATAAATGAGACAGATTTGATTTGCTTTGTGATGCTGTTTCTATAATCTTCAGGGTTTTCACACTCACACAGAAAAACACATATTTCACCCGACTTTAAAAGTCATTTTTCTCACTAGACTCCTATAGAGCGCCACAGGAATGACCTAAAAAATAAAAATAAATACAAGCATACACTCGAATTACACACACACACACACACACACACACACACACACACACACACCACACACACACACACACACACACAACACACACACACACAGGGCCCTTCAACACCCTCAACATACAAAGTTGCTAAACGTTATTATTACTGCCTACTTGTCTGTTTTCTCTGTCTATGCTGTGCATTGTATCGTCGTGTCTCCCCTGTCTCCTACAACTTTTGCTCTTGTCATGTCCCTCACTCGTCTTTGTTGTTCTGCATCACCTAATAAAAAAAAGATAAAGGAATGAGTCCTAAAACCAGGAAGTAAGTTAGCCAATTACCTCTATAAGAAGAGAGAGAGAGAGAGAGAGAAGAGAGAGAGAGGAGAGAGAGAGAGAGAGAGAGGAGAGAGAAAGAGAGAGAGAGACAGGAAGAGAGAGACAGAGAGAGAGAAGGAGACAGAGAGAGACAGAGAAGAGAGACAGAGAAGAGAGAGAGAGAGCGAGAGAGAGAGAGAGAGAGAGAGAGAGAGAGAGAGAGAGAGACAAGAGAGAGAGAGAGAGAGAGAGAGAGAGAGAAGAGAGAGAGAGAGAGAGAGACAGAAGAGAGAGAGAGAGAGAGAGAGAGTCCTCATTTTAAGTGAAATGTAACATGTAGTTTGTTGGTCTGCTCAGAAAGACAGATCTCTACACCTGTTGCTGATGAGGAGTTGGACCGTATTGTAAGCGAAGTCCACAGAAGTGTCCAAACACCGGCTACAAGCTAATGCGTGACATTTGAATGCTAGATGTGCGTTTCCAAGTGAGTATGATCCGAGCCCAATATGAATAAATATAAATAAACCATGAACTAGGCGCAAGGTCAATGAGAATATATATTGTTAAGGTAAGGCTCATGTATGTGTGTATTCTTTTGCAACGTAGCGGCTGATATATCTGAAACTCATTTCCAGGGTAAATCCAGATTTGTATCCTGTTATTATGAAGTTTTATATATCATGTTGATGATAGATAAGGTGAACTCTGGTCATTTTTGAGACTGTGGTGGTTTTGTACTGGATTTACAAATTCAAACATTCGATATCAAACATGAAGTTAATCGAGGTTGTGTCGTTTTAAAACATGTGGTATCCAAGGCGTGAACATTTTGATGACCTGAATTTATTTTTTTATCCAGGAGCTAAATGTTGCTGATGATCCATGGTGTTGCCATTTATTATTATTTATTTATTAACACCCTAACACTATCAAAATACTTCTAAATATTTGAAACTCTGGTATTTTTTTCCAGTATTTCTCAGTTAGATTTTTAAGTGTTTTTTTAAATAAATAGCAAATGAGTGTATGATTATTTTCTGCTCTAAAGTCTCAAGACTGAGAGTCTTTGCACAGAGTGGATGCTGAGGAGTGTACATGAGACGTCTACGGCTGCATGTAACAAGACGACGGCAGTATTCTGTTCCTGGCCCAAACTCTTTATGGCACATAGATGGTCACCACAAGCTTATAAGGTATCAGTGATATTAGTTGATAAACAATGCAACTTTCTATAGATGTCCAAAGAAATGATCACATTAAAGCTTTTTTGTGTTCAAAACTGTCTGACAGGTGGAGATTTGTTGTCCATGGTGGGGTGGACGGATTCAGTCGACTGGTGGTCTACCTGAATGTGGCTGGCAATAACAGGGCTAGCACTGTCCTACAGAGCTTTATCAATGCCGTTCAGCAGTACGGGCTGCCGTCAAGGGTACGGTCTGATAAAGGAAGAGAGAATTCAGACGTAGCAGAATTCATGATCAGGAGCAGAGGTACCAACAGGAACTCTCACATCACAGGCAGAAGTGTACACAATCAGCGGTAGGTCAAATATATCTGTTTGGTGACTACTTGTACACAGTGGTGGACAAAGTACTCAACTCCAGTACTTGAGTCAAAGTATTGATACTCGTGGTCAAATCTTACTCAACTACAAGTAAAAGTTGCTCCGTCAAGTTAAAGTACTAAAGTACTTACTTTTAAAAATACTTGAGTATTCAAAAGTATACAAAGTACATTTTCTAATATCAGTGCATTGCTGTATTGTTTTCTCAGTGCTTACACAGAACCTTGTAACTCTCTGAAACCACCTAATGATGTATTGACTTACAAGTCTATAGAAACACCTGTAAAAACTTCAGCGTAAAAATGCAATCAAAAACAATAAGGACAGCTATTGTCATTTAATTTTTTTATTTAAACATCCCCACCCAAAAAAAACAGGAGGGCCTTTTTTTTCTCCCCGTACATTCACTGTGGGGGAGTTGCAAGTTTACTGTTCAGTCCATTACTGCGAACAAACTGCAACTCTGCTTTCATGAACTCATCATCCAGTTGAACCACTTGGCTACATGGCAACATAACCCTTGCCTTAATAAAATCTGTAAACCGCCCTGCATTTTTCCATGTCTGTGGAAAGTGATGGAAATCCCTAAAAGATGGTGCACATTTAGTCTCTTTCCTCAGCTTCTCCTGCCATCTCCATTGCCGAGTTTTGTTTGAATGAAGGCGGGAGAGCTTGCTACACTGAGCGTTGATGACGTATTTCCAAATCCATCCCATGTGTGAGCGGTGACTGTGATTGGTTCCCTTCTATGAGGAGCACAGCGTGAGGCCAATTGCATTTTAGAAAAGAAAAACACCAACAGCTGACTACAAAGCTATGCTGAGCCTAAAAGGAACCAGTAACGACGAGCTTCCTAGAAATGTAGTGGAGTCGAAAGCACAATATTTATCTTGTAGTGGAGTGAAAGTCACAAGTTTCCAAAAAAACAAATACTCAAGTAAATGTACTCCGTTACTGTCCACCACTGCTTGTACAAACCATAGCAGCTCAATGTATTTTAAAGCTTGAGATTATATATTAATTAACAATTTGTCAATTGCATTCTAATTGCAGAATAGAGAGGATGTGGAGAGATGTTTATGAGCATGCCCTAGACCTCTTCTATCAGATCTTCACTTCATTGGAAGATCAGGGAACACTCAATCCAGACAACCAAGTCCATCTTTATGCCCTGCACCGGATCTTCCTTCCCCAAATTCAGAGAACCCTCAGCTCCTTCAGAGATGCTTGGAACTTTCATGGACTTAGAACTGAAAGGAATCAATCACCTAATGAACTCTGGAGAAGATACAGAGAGCAAGGCCCCATGGAGGATCCTGCAGAGGTTAAAAAAAAGATAGTAGTTTTACACTATTATTGAAACCTTTTGAAAATATATTCATATTTGTTGGTCAGGAGATACAGGTGTTTGTCACTGATGTTTAGCAGATTTATTTTTCCTCAAATTTCTTAGAAGAAACATTTCAGACAGATGATAATTGGACCCACTATATTTGAATAAAAGGGTTTCTGTTATCACTTTGTTCTTGTTTTTGAATGAAACATGAGAATCTCTTCTGTCTCCTGAGCTCTGACAGAACAACATCTGAGCAGCAAAGTGCCTAAAACTTAATTTGTCACCAACATAAGGACCAATGATCAATCTCATGAATCTTGTGTGATGACATGTCATAGTAGTTAAACAATATGTCAATCAAGGTTATCCTCTGTTCAGGTTTATGAAGACTATGGGATCGACTGGAATGGGCCTCACAATCAGCATGGAGACACTGTGTCAGTTCCTGAGATTCAGATGGCCCGTGAGCTCTCAGATGAAGAGGTTGCCATTTTGCCAGTTTCAGGAGTTTCTTTAAATGATGCAATTGGATCATATTTGGAGACAGTGCAAGTTTTGTCAAGAATCATTGGAGACTGATATCTTAAGCAGGCCTTTTATTTTATTTATTGTGCAAATGTCACTCATGAATTAGTTAACTTGATTTGTCAATAAAAATCTGAAATAATAATATGCTGTTTTAATGCAAATAAAACCAATTTTTCTAGCATCAAGAGATATTTCAACAACCTCATGTAGCCAATGACAACAGGCAAGGACAGCAAGGTGATGCACACTGAAGTATCAAACAGTTGACAGAAGAGCAACAACAAAGCAGTGTCATTTTCAGGGAAAGAAAATACTGCACTGTATTTGAAATGTTAGAAAAACACTGAACTCACTTCACTCAAATTGACCTTTTTCTACTGAATAAAAGCACAGCAACATCATTGCCTGAAAATACTTAAACAAGAGCAAATCCAGTGTGTGCACTGTCTATGGCAGCAACAAGTGCTTCCTCAAAGTCTTTGTAGGTGTTGTAATGAGCTGGCAGCTTCAGTGTTTCAAAGCATGTGGAGGATGATGGGAAGGTTCCCCCGGAAAACTCCACTTTGAGTTCTGGAGGGAGCATTTCCCAGCCGACCCAGAACTTCAGCAACTGAGCCAGAGTATCTGATGAAGCTAAAAGGTCATAAAGTGGATTAAGAACACAGTGCACTGTAACTGTTCAAATCCCTATGCATTTCATATATTCTACAGTGTTAAGTGAGATGTTTATGGGACATAAGACATTGGTAAACATGAAAATAAATTGCAAAATAAGATAGCTATACCTGTTTCAATGAACATCCGTAGAAAACCAGTGATGCGGCACTTGCACTCAATGTCAAGTTCTTCATCATCACTGTCCTCCACAGGCCATGTGATTTTGTCTAGGAACATCTGGAAAAAAAAAGTTTGAAAAGTATTTTGGTGTCTAGGATAATTTATAATTCAGCACTGATGAAAAGGAATATAGATTACAGTCTTGGTAATTGAGAAAATATCCAGCTCAGTAAATTAGACAATAAGATTTGCACACACATTTATTAATATTTTAAGTATTGTTAATAAGTTGGATGTACTAAATCACCTGGGGTACAAACTGCATTCCTGCCATTTTCAGAAAAAGAAGTGGGACAACATCTGGCCTTGATGTCAGCAGGGGCCATAGCATCACATCTTTCAATCCCTTTCTCAACTGTTTAATTTGGCGCATGGTCCTCCCGATGACCTACAAGAAAGGCCAAACCCATATTACTGACCAAATATTAAAATTCTACAAAAGTCAGCACAGTAGAAAGTGTTTATAAAACTCTAATGCAGTGCTTAACAACCCTATAAAACCATTTGTATCATATTTGCTACGCAAGTTTCTGAGACCTCTGTCTTATCAACATGATCAAAACTTTCCTTTAAAACCTGTTGTATATGACCTGATACATGTATTCTGCCCCCTAGAGGATTTGCACTCTACTGCAGGCAGTGGAAGGGCTTTTTTGACCTTTTAAAAAAATGGCCACCATCATGCTAGCATCCACACACTTTCAGCAGGAAAATCTTTGCTAATTTTCAAGAAGTTACAGTAAGAATAACATTTATATTGTTACTCATTCTTTAATAGGAGTATATTCTGTATTAAAACAATGCATCATTACTTAATAATTCATTCTTCATATTACAGTTAAATTGTGTTAAAAATGTGTGTATCACATTTGATACTGCAGGTATATAAGGTGCTTTATCCTTGAACGGTCATTCTAAAGTTTTGTAATGTAATCTACATCATGCCTACCAATATACAAACACACACTATTTTAATGATTTAATAAATCTAATTAATGACTGAAATGCCATTTTAAAATACATTTTGGGTATTTTCACAATAACAATTCCTCTGAAATCATAATCGCTACGCTATATTGACCAATTTGTTATGTGTGTATTTTTAGATGTCAAAAAGAATAGAGGAAGAAGTGAGAAAACAAACGTACATTGAAAATGTCATCAACATGATAATGGATGGCAATTCAAGTGACATAGAGCAGTTAGAGGAAGATGATGAGGAGGATGAGGAAGAATGGACTCCTCAGGCCATGCATGATGATGGAAGTTCAGATAGCAGTGATGAGGAAGACTATCAAGAGGAAAGTGTAGCCCAGACAAGCACAGACGTTGAGATCCCAACAACAACACAGGACACAATCAGAAAGGAGTCAGTGAAGGCCAATGCACAAAGGAAAGAATACAGATGGAGAAAAATAAATGATCAAGCTCCATCTATCAATTTCATTGCAAGTGTTGAGGAAGGCACAGAAGACAGGTGTGACTGGACACCATACATGTATTTCAAACAGTTTGTCACTGATGAAATGCTAGAGGAAACTGCAGAACAAACAAACCTGTACAGTGTCCAAAAAGAGGGCAAGTCAGTAAACACAACTGCCAAGGAAATAGAGCAGGTTCTAGGCATGTACATTCATATGGGGTTAGTACAGATGTCCTCTGTGAGAGCCTATTGGGAGATGGAGACAAGGCTCCCTGCAGTTTGTCATGTGATGTCTCGAGATCGGTTTCTGAAATTGCTGACAGTGATTCACTTTCAGGACAACCTCAGTGTGTCTGATGATGCAAAGAAAGATAAACTGTGGAAGCTCAGGCCATGGTTACAAAAACTGCGAGAACAGTTTCTCTACATACCTCCTGAAGAAAGCCATGCAGTTGATGAAATCATGGTGCCATTTAAGGGAAAATCTCATCTACGTGTCTACATGCCTGCAAAACCTCACAAATGGGGTTTCAAAATGTGGGGACGTGCTGGACAAAGTGGCTTTCTTTATGACTTTGATATTTGTCAAGGTGCAGAAAATCCAGACAGAGAAAAGTCTGAAGTAGGTGTTACAGGAGAAGTTGTGCTGAAAATGACATCAACACTTCCAGCAGGAAAAAATCACAAGGTCTTTGCAGACAACTACTTCACATCAGTTCCCCTGGTGCAACACCTAAAAGAAAGAGGAATCCACTACGTTGGCACGATCCGGATGAACAGGATGAAACACTGCACCATGATGGATGAAAAAGAATTGAAGAAAATGGAAGAGGGTCAATGGACTTCAGAGTGAACCAGGAAAACAACATCGTTGTAAGATGGTACGACAACAAAGCAGTGAACCTGATTTCCTCTTTTGTTGGCACTGAACCTGTGGGAAATGTGAAACGCTGGGATCGCAAATCCAAAACTCACATAACGGTTCCCAGACCAGCCATTGTTGAAACATATAACAAGTTCATGGGAGGTGTTGATCTCCTTGATATGCTGTCTGCACTTTACAAGTTCAGCTTCAGATCCCGAAGATGGTACATGTACATCTGGTGGCACACTGTTACAGTGGCAGTCATCAATGCGTGGAACCTCTACAGAAGAGACCAGAAGAAGCTAAACCCCAAGAAGAAACCCGTGCCTCTGTGAAGGTTTCAGGCTTTGGTTGGCAGGAAAGGCCAAAATCAGGTGTGGCAGACCACTATCCTCTCCAGAAGAGACTCCAACACCACCCCGTAAAAGACCAAGCTGCAGTGTGCCTCTTGATGTGAGAAGGGATGGCATTGATCATTTTCCAACATGGGAAACCCGACAGAGATGCAATCACTTCTCACATGTCTACTGTGAAAGTGTAAGGTGCATCTTTGCCTGAACAAGGACAGAAACTTTTTGTGCCTACCACAAAATGAAATAAAAAGGCTGTAAAAAGTGTTATGTTAAAAAAAACAACGAGAAAAGCTTCCTGAAATGTGTGCAAAAAATTGCCAAAAACGCCCGATGTATCAAATGTGCTACAAAAAAATATCATAAACAACATGATATGAGAAAAACATTTTGGGGATTTTGTTTAAGGGTTTAATAAACATCTCAATTCCAAAAGAATAGAATTTCTGGTTATTTTTTCATGTGTCAGGCTTTACAGGGTTAAGATGTATTTTTCCCCAATTATATCCTTTCATATTGCAACACCAAACCACTCCCTGCCTAGATTACAAGTTAAAGAGTGTTTAGGTTCTGTAATAATCCTGCCTGCAGTTCCAATTAGTTTGTGATTGAAATACAGATGTGCAAAAGAAATGCAGACGTGATAGAATTGCTTAGCTTGAAACATAATTGATGGATAAATGGGGGATGAGTTCAATTTCAGAAGGAGAATTCACCAAATCAGCAGGAGAAACTCACCGCGTGTACTAGAAGTTTGTTATGTAGCCACCTCTGATTCGTTTTAGTGACTGCTGGGAGATCCCAAGACAGGGAAAGATCTGACACTGTGTCCTTCTGTTCCTGAGTAAGTTCTTCAAGTTCAAGCTACAGTTTGGATCATAAAAGGTATTACACCTGTCCAGGAATTTTGCAAGGCAAAGGTTTTTTTGTTTGTGTGTTACATACCATTGTTATAATACTCCTGATGTGCAGATCAGGACAGTCCTCGACAACAATTGTTGCCATTTCAGGGTCCCCATTGAACAGTACATGAATAACAGCAGGACTTAATCCGGTGACATGGGGGCCATCATGCAAAAAGGAGTGGGCTATCATCCTTCCTGCAACCCGGAAGAGGTTGCTCTCAATAAGCACCTCTGATGCAGCTGGAACGAGATGGTCAGGCTCACCTTCAAATAGCAGAGTTTGGCCCACTCCTCCTGTAAGTACCAACAGAGCAGGGCTTCAAATCAAACAATTAACTTTTAAAATGCATGACATTAACCTGAATAGTAGCACATTTACCAAGATTCATTCTGAATCCAAACTGGAGTTTGGATATTATTGTTGTCAGAAAGTACCGCATCACTCCCTGTCCAACAGCAGCATCACCTATAAAACTTTTTTTTTTTTTTTTAAAGAATACTGTATACTGTTAATAACACACTAGAAACAAGCTGTAACAAGGCTATAGGTGCTTGACAAGTTTTAGGAAGGAAGGACAAACACATGAACTGTTATGCAGACAGCATGAACAGCCAATGCAGATTATCATATAATGATTAATATCAGCCAAATGACCTGATGGGACCAGTAAACCACTAATACCATTCCATATAAGACATAGAATTGATATTAATGTAACAGGATATATTTATATTATGAACTCTATTCTACTAACCATCAAGGGTACAATGAAGTGGACATGCCCATTCCTGTTGCTTTATAGAATGAGAGAAGTGCCCGTTCCCTGTCCTCCTCACGCTCCCTTACATCCATTTTCAGTTTAAGAGGCTTCCCGGTTGCATGTTCACTTAGTAGATTATCTTTGAAAACTTGGGCAGCCAGAGTTGGTTCTTTAATAATCTTCCAGTCTAGACAAGAAGAAAAATAAATGTAACTACTTTGCATGTTAAATGCAGATAAACTCCCAATCAACAGAAAAGGAGGAACACCTGAAAAATGTGACAGAATCCAACAGCCTTTTAATAGATACTAGGAAAGTCCATTTCTACTTGACTTTCATCAGAATGATGCTTATTTGCTGTTTGAAGTCAACCAAGCTTCACTTAGATGTGGAGTCTGTGAACTGTATGAGGAAGTGTTTCTAAGGTTCTATAAAACAGCAGTGATAATGGCATGTCTTCTAGTCGTTATTTATTATGGTTAAAAGGTGTTATTCTTCTATTGACTGAGTTCTAATCATGCACAATATTATAGCATTCCTACTGTGATGACACAAAGCATTGTCAAGTTCTTTAAGATCAATCTTCTCACTTTCAATCACTACTGGTTCTACTTCACTCTCTACAGATGTTTCAGGCCTCACTGGAACGCTGTCCCTGTCAGTGGGTGGCTCTCTATCATTCTCCTCACCACGGTCTCCCTCTCCTTCTCTATGTGTTTCCTGCATGGGGGTCCTTGAAGTTCAGAAAATGTTATAGTCATTTCCTCTCATCTGTGTGCACAAAAACTAAAAAGACATTTCTTATTGAAAAATGAATATGTAATTCTTATATATCTTTAACAAGTGCATAGCCATCCCAGTTAGCTCGGTGCAGTTTCATTTCAGAGAAGGGAACCTCCTTCTGGACCAGAGGCATGTCCCGAGCTTTCCTAAGAACAACAAATCTGTTAAGTATTGATTAAAACTCCACAGTGCAATTTATTTGAACTATGTATCAAATGGTGACAGTGTAAATTTCCATACTGAATCAATGGGTAGGTCCTGTTGAAGTGGCGTATGTCAATTGTAGCCTGTCCAATTGTTGGAGATGGATCTTTTAGATAGGTAAGGGTGTATCCTGTGCTGGGACATTGAAGAAGTCCAAGATTTCGACTGCGAGTAGATCCTGCAATTTTTAGAAACTCAAAGCCTCCCCCTTCTTGCAGCTTTGGAAACACCTCCATCAGTTTGTTTGTTACAAACCATGGGATCGTTGTCATTTCCTGTAAATATACATAATGCACATTAACTCAAATACCAAAAGCTAAGCTGTGATAACAAATACACAGCAAGAAAATCACGTCATTAAAGTTTGAGTCTAATATGTAAAATAGGTGAACACAAATGGCGATAAAATGAAATTAAAAATACAACTCCTACTAATGTCAGGACTCAGTGCTTTGTCAAAGTTCTTGTTTCAGACGCACCTGAAAAGATCACCTTTGTTCTCCAAGTCCTGAAGCAAGAAGGTCTGCTTTAAGCTGAATGCTTGGAACTTTATCAGCCTTGTGTTGTTGTTGTTGTTGTTGTTGTTGTTGTTGTTGTTGTATGGAGCAAACAGCCTTGCTACTTCGGCTGCAACACAGAGAAAATGTTACAGCTCCCATGATCGCCACTCAGCTAAAACATCCTTAAGTCCTGATAAATGTAATAAAGAAAGCAAACAACAACTAAAAAGAAAGAAGTGATAAAAGTCCAACTTCAGGGCTGCTGACATGACACCATTCTGCCGACTAGCTAGCTTCGTTTAGAAGCACATCTGGCTATCCTTACCTACCTTGAACAGGTGTACGTTGTAGCGACAGGTATCTGCTGTACCTGTGCTCCGGAGAGCTTTTGGACATCCTGCACTAACACTTTGCACCAATGGTGAGCACTTCAGTATCATCAGCAACTATTTTTTCGGCGACAAAAAAGCGTACCGAAACGAATATACGGATGAACACTGTCACCTAACGTATCGGAGTGCATTCACTGCTTCAATCCATTATCTGGGATCGATCTGTCATGACTTGCTTTGCTGAGTAACCAATCAGATGTTAGAAACTTGACGAGCAGCAGTGACAGATGAAATGATTTCATGATGCACTGCTGGTGTAGGGACCATGAAATGATAAAGTAAATAGTGAAATAATTAAATAGTAAAATAATTAAATGTGTTTTACATTAAATGAATTAACATTTTAAATAATTAATTAAACATTTCATTAATTAATGATGTGTTTCATAAATTATTTATTATTCTATATTACCAATTTTAAATAATTAATGACACATTTAAATAATTATTTAATTATTTAATAACACATGCATTTAATTAATTAAATAATTATATATTTATTTACATATTTGTTGATTTATTTCCAATATTAAATAATTGATGACACATTTAATGATTTCATTAATTATATATTTATATATTTCATTTTGGCACTTTTAGTCCTCCATAGTGAGCGTCCAACTTCCCTGAATGTTAAACT